TAATACAGATCATTTAGGTCTCAGTAATATGAATGTCATAAGAATGTGATGCACTGAGGAGCCTAACAATTGATGAATGCCCTTCATTTATGCACTGGGCTGAGAAAGTCCTAAAAGAAGCAGGCATAAAGGCACACATGTATGCACTTCATCAGAGAGGCAAGAGCAAAATCTACATCAAACACTGTAACGTCCTTTAACCTGTTAAGCCCCAAGCCTGTTTTCCAGGTCTCAGGCTCGAAAATGACATTCCCAGAACAAATGACTATATCTTCACTTCTAAAAGGGGTAAATTAATAATCTTTTTTCTCAAAGCGATGATAAACCTGTGAGTTGGATGTAGAAAAAAGTCAGAATCAATATAGGTGTTTTTATTTTAAAGTAAATTCAGATTGAACATAGTAAAAAAATGTAAATTATAGTGTCCGTCCAAAAACAAAAAAATTACTTATAGTGAAAACCACCCTTGAATGATGGGTTAGTAGACTAAAAGCTTTAGGAATCAAAACTATAACATATAATAAGTACCCTGTATCAAGATTTATGCAAAACAAGTGACATTTGACCTTTTTAGAGAGGTTTAGAAAAAATCAAACACTTCTGGGGTCATTTGGGTGCATTTTCTATATCTAAGGCCCCCCTCGGTCGATTTTGGTGATTGACATCTCTTTTGAACCGTTAGAGCCAATAGAATCGAAGGGGAAGTTCCTAAATCCACCTACACGTTACCAAATAAGGAGTGAGAGTGATGCGCACACAGTTTGTCCAAACCGAAAGCTATGTTACGCTCTGAAAACTGAAAAATTGGTTTATTGCTGATGGATTATCAGTAATCATTTCAAAGTGACACGGACACATTGGATTAACCTATGGATTAACCTTCAGCCGCATTTATATCGTTTTGATGCCATTGAACACGACTTTTGATAAGAAACAGCAAAAGGTAAGACTAAGAACCGCGTTTCCTCCGTAAAGCTACGTCGTGTGATGTCTGGGTTTGCTTCCCCTGTCACGAGTTTTGATCGCACAGTGATGATACCTATATTTCTAGAATCTGTGGAATCTCAGTTTACTAGTTAATATCTTGTTTGTGCAGATCCAATAAGTAATAAAGTATTTATACCGTGAGTTCTTTGCTAAGTGCGTCAGCATTTCTTCGCTCAGGGCTCATTTAGACGCTTCTTGTGAGACTTGTGTTTTGTTTCGGTAAAAATGGTTTGCATCGCCAGTTAGCTGAGTTTCTTCCCGTTAGGTGGGTATGACACATTCATAGTTTATTAAATGTTAAGAAGCCCTGAGACACAGTTTAGTGAAAAGAAGCCCGTAGCCCCCGCCGGGGCCTTAACAGGTTCACTCGACTGCAGTGTTCTTTTTGGGAAAAGTGGATCTTATAATATACCAACAATAACTATGAAATACTGCAAAAGAACGTCAAGCCTCACAGTATCCCTATGTGGAAGCTGTCAGTGCGAATGAGCTGTTATAACAGGCCACAGGTTCAAGCCATTGATCTCTTGGTGACATTGCAGTGAATTGAGGCCAGAGCCACAAAATTGCAAGAAGTGCCATTCTGTTTTTAGAAGAGAGGTTTGTAAATTCAGTGTGATTTATTATTTTTCATCACAGCTTGGAGGGGTTTGCTTGCTAAATCTTGAAGCGTTTCATGACTGTCACGGTTGCGGCTAAATGGCACAGTATATTCAGCTAACCCAATAACTGTTTGGGTAACTTTGGAAATAACTCTGATATAAACAGTTCAGTTGAGGACTCAGTGAAAGTTCATAATGGACTTCCTGCTGTTTCTTCCTCCAGCATAGTCAAGGATGACGTTAAAGCTGTGTGCCCTGATTTGAAAGTAGAAGGATGTGAAATATTAGGCAAAAGGAATGTAAGATAACGAGATAAATAAAGCAATGTTGTGCATGCAATAAGATCTCCAGTAAAGGCTTAAAAACTTTGGAAAACATGTCATCAATCATACATCTTGGACAAACTGTAATTACCTCAGATTTTATTGTGTATTCAGAAAAGGAAATAGCCACACATGCATTTCCTTTATTTTAATAGCACTAGACTTTTTCCTATCGCCATAATAAGGGTGGTAATGTAATGAAGTGCGCGGAGCCACTTCTTCAAAGCTAAACCCTACTCAATATTTTACAGCGAAAAACAAATAATGGGTTTATAATTACGTTGGAGCAGGTCTTTCCTGAAAGAGGCGAGGGAAGCAAAACAGCTTTAGGCAAAAGTATCCAAGCGTTTATGACAGCCTACATGCTGCTGCATTTGAAAGTACAGCAATGATCATACTAAAAATAGGCTGGAAACAGGGATGCATTGGCAACGAGAGGATGACGTGTGAATCGTTGCAGTTGTGCGGCCTACAGTGTGTGATGTTTATTTGAAGCCAGGCAGGAAGCTATGATTAAATGAGCAGACTGGTGCACTTCTGCAGCCGTGTCCAGTTGCACTTACTCTTGGAGAAAGGCAGATTGATAAACTCTGAGTCAGCATTTTATGTGCTGGGTGTGCCCTCTGTCCGTTTCCTCCCTCACAACAGGAAACAGGCTGTCCTCATTGCAACACAGCCATAAGAGAAAATGGACACAAATGTACAACATGCAAAGGACACGCATAGTTTAACAAAGTGAGTCAAAGGGCAATTTGGAGACGACCGTCGAGACAGCAGTGTAAATGTAGTTTGAAGGAAGCAGCTGGTTTGAAGTCTTAATTCAGCCAACGGAGATTCCCTTCTCTGTGGGCCACCGTCGGCGAAACCAATCTCGTATTTTGGGGAGGCCTTCCTGCTGAATGATACCTCCAATGGGACTTGGCATTTCATTCATTATTCAGAAGGCATTGGGAATGCACCTGCAACCTCAGTAGCCAATGTTTCCGTGCATTGCAGAATAAAAACTGGTTTCTATCATCTTCAGGGGGATTGATTCTGCTTAGATAAGGCAGTCAAATTCATGAATACAAAAATGAGCATTGTCTAGACTGAAAGCTAATTAACACTCCATCAATGCGCCTCTCTCTTATAACACATACATTCTCAAAGAGCTGTTACACTTTGTTTTAACCTACTGTGGTCCAAGGTTATACTAAAAGTGTAGCAATTTAACTCAAATTCAATCAGTGCAGCTGCTAGTAGTTCAGGCTGAGCTCTATTGATTCTGTGTCACTGAAAGTGTCAACTCGTGCAAATTGCAGTACTGCAAGTATTACACATTTCATGAAAAGGAGAAGATAAATGAAAGGAAAGTACGCTTCTGTTGTCACCTGCAGCATAAACTTATCAAGCCAGCGGCTGAGACATCAAGTGCATAAAGTGATGAAGTTCCACTTAAACACCAATGAATGATGACACCCCGCAGTGTGTACATCTGTTTTCTGTATAGTGTGAAGGTCTTGCAGTATGTGCCAAGCTAACAAATGTAGGCATGAACCAGATCAGGATTTCTGTGTTGTGGTAGTGGTAGTAGTAGTGGTGGTAGTGGTGGTAGTAGTAGTGGTAGTAGTAGTAGTAGTGGTAGTGGTAGTGGTAGTAGTGGTAGTAGTGGTAGTGGTAGTAGTGGTGGTAGTGGTAGTGGTAGTAGTGGTAGTGGTAGTGGTAGTGGTAGTGGTAGTGGTGGTAGTAGTGGTAGTGGTAGTGGTAGTGGTAGTAGTAGTAGTAGGGCCTTTTTCCGGACGAGGAGCTGTCCAGGGTTCTGACCACTTCTGTCTTGTTTTGTTCTCCTCTGAGGATGTTCAGTTTGCATCGCCGGGTGCAAGCAGCATAACAGACAGACATATCATTCAGCAAAACACTTGTGAAATATGGTTTTGGTCCAATCATTTCTTTCAGTGATGCATTGTATACACAGCAATCGATAGCTTCAGTAATTGCCATTGGATCTGGACTGCAGCATGTGTGTCAATGAATCTCATCCTACCACTGCATTATATTGACCCAGCTCTAGTTTTCACTTCAACCTAACTCCACAGTGGTAATGGGGTTTGCTCTAATGAAGACACCAGCCATATCAAGTTTGTTCAGTGCTTTATGGAATTATTAAAGAAAGCTTTAAACATCTTTGTCAATATAGACCAGACCATATGAAGCAGGTGTTTAGGTAATGCAAGAGATTCTGGAGTGAAGCGATATGTACACGGGGGACAGAAAAAATACAAAAAAGGTAACTAAGAGTGATGAGGTACTGTAGGAGGATGAACCCGACAGAGAATTAGACACAGCCTTATATAAGCTATGTTTTCAAGCCAACACCAACACAAAGCTGAACAGAACAACCCTTCCTTTGCAGCTACAGCCTTAATGATATATCAGTCACTGTTTTTCAACATGAATACCTCATTGTTTCCTCCATGTGATAAATGAGAAAAGGTGACTAGGAGGCTAATACATTTTCTCTGATGCAGCCATGCAGCAGCTTTATTGCCCCTTAGTGCTACGTATGGTTCACAGAGCGGGCTACGTTTTATTTCTCTGGTGTAAAGAGTACTTTCCTTGCTCTTGGATTGCCATTTGCGTCAGTTTATTTCTAAAAGTGCCAATGAAACTGCATCACGGACATGGAGAGCACATGATGTATGCCATAATAACAATGTTCCTACAAGATATGAGAAGCACAGGTGTTACTGATAGCACTAATAATGTACAAACGACCAAAGAGTTTAATCAAATCCAAAAGAAAGCTTTTTTTTATCTGCGAAGACATTACAACAAGCACACACACCCAGTGGAATATCAATGTCTAATTTTATGAAAGTCATCTCAGTTGTAGTCACTTTTTATGATGCCAGATTGATTTGTTCCAAAGTGCTGCAGCCCTCATTGCCAGAAGTTTGCTGCTGTAATGAATTTGCTGAATCAAGAGATGGTGCTCAATGAGGCGTTTTGTTACCGTGCATGTCTTTAGCTGCACTACTGACAGTACTGCAGCATTTTAGTTTTTACCTGCTCAAAGAAATCAATGAACCGGTGTTTTTCTGTCTTCCAGGTCTGAATGTGACTCTTCCAGAATGGTCAGGTATGTCAATGTCCACCTTCATCTGCTCAGGATTGTACATCTGCCCAAGCTTCATGATTATTCTTTCATAAAACACTATTCGATCCTGTGCCTTTGATGGGAACGGCTTTGGTGACAACATAGTGTTATATAAGTCTTGTGAGTGGAGTGTGTAAAGCCAAATATCCATCATGGTCCTAGCCAGATTGAGTGGCTTTCCTCTGTGTGGAGGATTGAGGCAGGCCTGGAGTGCTGCATGTTACTGGTGTTAGTGAAGATTACCGTGTGTAGGAAATGATGAGATTTGATGTCAGGCGTGGTCCAAGGTCACATTCCACTTGCTTGTTCGCTGTGTGAACCTTATGGCGCGTTTCCACTACAGCGCGGAGCACGGTTTAAGAGGGCTGTGACGTCAGCGGCCCGTTTTTGGTTGCGTTTCCACTTGGCCTAGTACCGGCCGGCGGGTCCTAATTCACAGTTTTTCTGGCCTCATAAAATCGTGGGTCCAGGGCCAGAGACAACGAGGCTGAGTCGGGCTGAGTATGCTAAACTAGAGAGAGCATCGCTGGCAAGGGGGCTACAACTACAACAAGATGGACATATTTGACCGTGATTTAATTGTAATACACGTTTCAAAATGATGCCGAAGTAACAACATACTGATACCGGTTAGTAAAAACTAGGGATGTCCCGATCACCTTTTTTTGCTCCCATTCCGATCATTTGATTTTGACAATCTGCCGATACCGATTTTTCCCGATCCGATCTTTATGCAATGCATTAAGAGAAAAAAAAGGAGAAAAGCATTCAAGTTGTCCCTTAAACCCCACGTTCTCCACCACAGATAACGGCTGGTCATCCAACGCGATGAATTCAGCTATCTTGGCTGTTATTTTTTTGGCCTTTTCACTGTTCTGGGGCAGTTTCTCTTTCCTTTTAAAAGTCTCTGAAAGTGTTGGTTGTTTCAGTGCCGTTACCTGAATGGCCGCTGTGTACTCGTTGTGTTGTTGTTGGTGTTTGTTTCTCAGGTGGCGTATTAGATTGGTCGTGTTGAACGTAGCTCTGTTCTTTCCACCACGCGGAACCTCCGCCTTGCAAACATTGCATCTGGCTGTTACACTGCCTTCGCTTTCAATTTTATAATACTTCCAAACTCCTGACATTTTCTCTGTCCCGAGTCACCAGCTGAACGTAGCCTCTCGTTAGCTTACTGCTACTTTTAGACACTGCGCCCTGCCCACTCTGTTGCCAGATTTGAGAGAAATAAGCAACCAGAGGCCTGTACTACGAAGCTGGTTCAACCTAACCTGGATATGTTTGAGTTAGCCGGTTGGCCCAATCCAAAACATATGCGCTCTGGCTAAACTGTACTACGACGCTGGTTATCAAGTGGATCGCTCAAGCCAGCAGTGTCCTATCTAGTTAGGTGCGCGTTCACATGAAATGGGTGGTATTTGGAGCATTCGACCAATCTCAAACACGGACAAGCGTACTGACAGCGCAGCGTCATACTTCCTGAATGAAAAGTGAACTTTAATATTAGTCAAATATGAAGAAGTTAAACTTTAAACATCCATGACTTAAACACTTTATCCAGGATAAAAGCCACATAGCTGCACCTGCAAGGTGAATACAGCTGGTAAAAGAAAAAGTGTTTGAATGCGTACATTAACAGGTTTATGAAATCACTGCCCCGTCCAAGACACGAGTGGATCTGACTTTAATTAGGAGAATTTGACTCGAGTGTTTCATCAACTTAATGTGTTGCTTAAATAATACTTCTGCATACAGTATGTGACACTGTGAGTGTTGCACGGCCAGATACGGCTCAAGAAGCTGACTCAAATAAGGAAATATATGATACATTATGATGTGATATGATATGAATGATAATGGGACACATCGACGTCTGCACTCACAGTGCCGCGGACTGTACTTAATGTTTCTCTGATCCGGTTACTTATGTCGTGGCAGATATTTAAGTAAGCTTTCTTAACGCTAATATTATAATAGTCAGATTGCTCTGAAGATGGGAGGGGATATTCTATTAATTTTCACGTTCACACAGTCAGTTGATTTTTGCCGGCCGTCTTTCCTGCAACGGCAGTTTTTCTGTATTTCCTCTATCCTGTCATATGAATTGATCGCTTTAAACTCCGCACACGGAGCTCTGATTGGTCAGCAGGCGGTGCTTTCACTGAGTTGATCTCTTAGCCTGCCACCTAACCTGCTCCGGAGCAGGTTTGCCGCTCAGCATAAGTTACCATGGAAATCTAGCCTGCTAAAAAGAGAACCAGCGTCGTAGGACCGGAAAGCCCGAGATTTCCCTGAAGTTAGCCGGCTAAGCGAAAATCCAGCTTCGTAGTACAGGCCTCTGGTCTATGAAAACAAGCCCAAAAGAAGCAACACATACATGATGTTGTGTAATTTTAAACCAAAACTAAGGCCTCAGGATGACTTTAAGACGTGAACATGGTCATTTTTGTTTTGTAACATTAAATAAAATAAGAAAAATATTTTATTAAAAAAAAAAAAAAATTCCGATCCCCGATTTTTTTCTCCCGATTCCGATCTTTTGAAAATCACGTGATCGGCTCCGATCCCCGATCACGTGATCGGATCGGGACATCTCTAGTAAAAACCATGAATTAATGCTTTGACAAGTCTGCAGACCGACGGCAGGCGAAAAACCTTTTAAAATGCGCGTTGTCTAAATGGAGATTGGCTAAGCTAACGCAGTATATGCTCCGACCGTCCACACTCACAACAACGGCCTATACAGACATAAATAAAGCAGCGACTGTATTTGCCATGACACAGTTAGTCTGTGGTTTGTACTTGTTTAACTTTTGTCTAGTTTCTGAACAGATATGAGGAGCTGTGAGCTCTGAGTGCTAACAGCTAACGGCTGTGTTGTTTTTCTGGGGTTCTCATTGAAGATGACGTCACGGCTCCGCCTACACTGCGTTACTATAGATACTACCCCAGTTCCTAAACTGTAATGGAAATGCGCCATAAAGTGAGCCAGTCCTAACGAGGCCTAGCCATACCGAGCGAGGCCGAGCGAGGCCATGTAGTGGAAACGCGCCATTAGTGGCTGGAGATTTGTAGGGCTGTCTCTGCTGAGGTAAGATGTGGGCTGATTTAAAACTGTAACCTGAATCCATCATTGCTGTAAACACAGCTGAGAAATATGGCTTGCATGTAGAGAGTAAATGGGTTGCTGTCAGTGGTAAATGCACTCCTTATCTGCAGCTTCTCTCTGTAGGGATGCCTCGCTGTGGGATCCTTACAGCCCCTTCCTCTGCATCTGATGGGCATTAAAGACCCACACAAGTCTAGTCAAGTTTAGCAGAGTGTAGCTGAGCCTGTCCCCTGTTTTACTGAAAACATTTCCAGGCCATGGCTGTTCCTTTTCTTTGGTCTTCTACTGTCTGTGTTCCCCAGGCCACTTTTCTTCTGCTCTAAATGTCCTATTACAAATTTGAAGCAAATCCAGCGGGCCACAGCCTGGAAAAGTGTGCCAGTCTTTGTGTTCATATCATCGCAGTAACAGTGTGTGTGCATGAGAGAGCGAGAGATGTGCATGTTAGTGGCATCCCCACTGACAGGAGTGCTCCAAAGGAAAGAATGAATCCTTGTGATAATTTATTTTAAACTATATAAAATCTGTTGAAAAACGAATCAGATTTTTTGGGGTGTAAACTTTGAGTAGTAAACATTTGAAATTGTAATGTTTAGCATCCTTGTGTTCCTGGCTAGAAATAGTTTAGCTACAAAACGTTTCTCTGGTGAAAATGCTTCTGGAAATAAGAGATATTTTTCTTCAATAATAATCCAATCATTGATCCGTAATATTGACTTGTTGTTTAACAATGGGGAATTTTGATCTTTAAACAAAAGCATCTCTGTGCACAGCAAGAAATCCATGTATCATCCATCACAGGCATTTAGCCTTACTAACTCTCAGAATAACTCCTTTCCAAGTGGCTAAAAAATAATTTTGAGGAAACTGATCCAAAGAAATATATATGTAAGTTTAAAATGTTTTTCACCTTGAAACCTGAAATATTTCTGTTGAGAATTTGTATGCGGCTGGCACTGTTCAATGTGCTGTATACTGATAATACTCTCCTTTATACTCCAGTCGAGTGTAATGAACATTTTCCTAATCAGCTGTCATAAGGCGCATTTATTGATTTGTTATCACAAAAAGTTTTTTTTCCATATCTTTCTAGTTGCTGATGGTAGGATCTAAAAGTACAGCAGTGAAAATAAAAATAAACGACGAGGCTTCAGAGACAAACAATCCCATCTCCCCAAACCGATGCGTTGATGTGGTTGGAAGGCGCCCAAATGGCAGCAGCCCTCTGCATATCGTCCACAGCTTCCAGTCTCCTCTTCATTAATATAAATCTGGAGAGCCAAGACTGTTATCCTGCTGCTGTATAAGCCAGGTTCGATCTTGCACGTCTCTACCAACACATTTTGGATCATGCCGCTTGTTTGGCAGCTGCATACATGAGTTGGATCCAAAAGCCATGATATTTCTGAATGAAAGTGATCGCAGACCTTCGCTCAGTTTTGAGCAATAGTTGCGATGGCAATGATCCTGCAAATTAGAGGAAAGCGTCAGGAGCAGCTCATCTCGCTGTGTGTCAGGAGGTCGGTGAGACTGCAGGAATGTTTTCGCCTCAAGTCAGCAATACTGGACCGAACATGTAAATTAAACTTGATGAACAATGTGTTTAATACAGGACTGGCAGTGATTATGAAACAGTTTATTCAATTATTTGTTATTGGATAATAAACGAGGGGATACTAAATTCTTGGAAAAATGAATCCATCATTGAGCAGACCACATTTTTAGGCAGTAAATCAAAACGACATTTAATAATTGGACAATAAAAGAGTGTAGATTGAAAGCCTTTACAAATTAATCAGTTCAATATTAAAATAAAATGAATGTCTTGGATAAATGTAACACTTTTTACAGGTGAGAATACAGCGGAATTTGTTTT